TGCTCCTGACCTTATGGAACTTAAGGCCTTAGTGTGAAGGCTGTCCCACATTGGTAAGACAAGACAGGAAGGGGGAAGTGAGGGGGCTCACTAGTCATCCCTTTCTCCCTTCACACCTACCCCTTCCTCTTCTCCCCGCCTTCCAAGTCCCCCTACCCGCAGATGGGACTTTTTGCTGGGGCTGCCTCCTGCTGAAATGGAAAGAATCCAAAGTTAATTGTTAAACCTAATAGCTGGTGAGAGTTTAACGCTGTGGGGCTGGTGTGGGGGCTGAGGGCGAGCTCTGCTCCCCAGGAGAGGGGCGGGGCTGACTAGGCTTTTCTGGCCTCCACCTGCCACCTTTTCCGGGCTCTGGAATCTGCCTCCAGGGCCTGCTCCTCCCCTCTTTCCAGGGGGCAGGCTGCCTCTTGGACCCTTTCCCTTGACTCTAGCTGAGGTGACCCTGGGAGGTGAGTAATGGCTCTGGCCCTGGTCCAAGCACCTCCGAGTGACTGCTCCTGGGGGAGGTGCAGGACAGGAAGGGCTCCTGGCCCCAGGGACCCACCCGGAGGGCTGGCAGCCGTGGACCTTGCTGGGTTTCCCTCCTGCCTCATGTGTATGTGTGTGTCGGGGGGGGGGGGGGGGGGCGGTGAGTGGGGATGGTGTCACAAGTGGCCCAAGCTCTGTACTCGGGACCACTACCTAATGCCTTTCTCCTGCTCTCCTTCCCTTTCATCCTCTTCACTGGGTGTCCTGTCTTGGGTTATTCTCTGGTGCTAGACTAGGGAAGGAGGGGTTCGTGAGAACAGTGGCAAGGGCTTATTTCTTTCTCTAGAAGACAGCCCCAGACCCGGCCCCTGTCAAGCTTTAGGGACAGAGCTCAGGCTTCCAAGTCAGACAGGACTGGGGTCAAAGCTGGGTGACCTTGGTGGGTGGCCCTCCCCTCTGAGCTATACTCATTCTCTGAGCAATAGGTACGCCCAATGCCTTTGTCACCATCACTGTGAATGTAGTATGTGCCGGGGGTAGATAAAAATACTAGGCTCGGTAGGGGGTCACCGAATGAGAAGATACCGTTCTCTTCAGACTCAACTGTACTTTGGGAGGCCTAGCTCTGGCTGTGGGCCATGGGGGCCACCAGCCCTGCCCTCTAGGACTTGACCTTCTAGAGGTTACAGTACATACTGCAGCCGCTTGGCCACATGTGGCTACTGAGCACTCGGAATATGGCTAGTGCTCTGAGGAACTGAATTTTTCATCTTAATTGATTTGAAATTTAAAAAGAATGCTCCATTTGGTTATCAAAAAACTTCTACATAGATAAGATGATTAGATTCATGAATATACTTTCGGTGGTAAGGGCTAAGGGGATCTAAATATCTTCTGAAAATCGAGCATCAGAATCGAGAGGCGCTCTAAATGTAAGATGCATGACAGATTTGGAAGACTTAGTATGAAAAAAAAGGATGTAAACTATCTTAATATCTTGTATATGGATTACATGTTAAAATGGATATATTGGGCTAAATAAATATACTTTTAAAATTAATTTCAGGGGTGCCTGGGTGGCTCAGTCGGTGGAGCATCCAACTCTTGATTTCGGCTCAGGTCGTGAGATTGAGCCCTACATCGACTCTGTGCTCAGTGCAGAGTCTGCTTGTCCCTCTTCCTCCCCTCCCCCCATCTCACACTTGCCTGAGCAGGCATGCTCACTCTCTCTCAAATAAATAAAACAAATACAATCTTTAAAAAAATTAATTTCACCCATTCTTTTGTACTTTTTAAAATGCAGGTACTGAAAATTTTATTTTATTTTTTGAGAGGGAAGGAGAGAGAAGGGGAGGGAGGGGCAGAGGGGGAGGGAGAGAGAAAATCTCACACAGACTCCACACCCAGCACAGAGCCAACTGTGGGGCTCGATCCCACAACCCTGAGATCATGACCTGAGCCAAAATCAAGAGTCAGACGCTTAACCGACTGAGCCATCTAGGCACCCCGCTACTGAAAATTTTAAATGACATATATGGCTTGCATTATGTTTCTATTGGACAGTGCTGTTCTAGCCAGAGAGTTGAGCTGGACATATTTGAATAATAATACAAAAAGACTATAAAGACTAGTTATTTGGGGCAGCTGTGTGTGGGGGTTGGAGATCAGATATTCCTCACACCCTCCCCCCCCCCGCCCCCACTGCCTAGATCTGAGCCATGCCCTGTGGTGGAATGTTAACCCTGGATAACCCCCCAGCCTCAAGGATAAGATTAAGACTCCCGAGGTCAGATGAAAAGCCTGCGTCTAGGTGGCCACACCACTCCCTTGCTCTGTGTGTGACCTTGGGCAAGTCACTTTACTTGGCTGAATCTTTGTCATCTATCAATTTAGATTACCGGTGGGATTTCCTCATTGATTGAGGGGATTACGTGCAGGATTTAGCACAGGGCCTGGCGTGTGTCAGGAGTCAGATATTGGCAACTACTACTGGTTGTGGGGGTTGTTGCTACTGCTGTTGCATCCCTCAGCTTGAATTCTCTTGTTCTATTTGTCTGAAGGGGACATGGGCCAGAGGGAAAGGAAAAGTTAAAAGAGCTTTACTGTGGATGTGGGATGAGGACTGGGGTGAGGTTGCTTTGTTTGTTGCCTCAGGGGATTTCTTGCCTTTGAGGTAGCTCCTTGGATCTTCCCATTCTGTAAGTGATCAGGCAAAGATATGTACCCATTTTACAGATGATGCCAAAGACCTGGCTATAGGGCCAGAGCCCAAAGGCGGGACTTCCCCACCGTATTGTAACATTAAGAGGCCACCTTTTGGGGTTGTAGGAGCAGGGACTGATCAGGAGTCTAGAGCTTGTGAGGAATGGTTATTATTAGTCTCTTTTTTTTAAGATTTTTTTAAATTTACTTATTGAGAGAGAGAGAATGGTAGAGAGAGAGCATGAGAGGGAAGAAGGTCAGAGGGAGAAGCAGAATCCCCGCTGAGCAGGGATCCCGATGCGGAACTCGATCCCGGGACTCCAGGATCATGACCTGAGCCAAAGGCAGTCGCTTAACCAACTGAGCCACCAAGGCGCCCTATTATTAGTCTCTTATAAGTGGGGAATCTCAACACCATTCAGAATAACCATCTCATTCTTGAGTTGAAGAAACAGAGAACTGAGTGTGTGTGTATGTGTGTGACCTGCCTAGGATCACACAGCAAGTCGGTGGCCAAGCTGGATCCGTTTCTGTTTGTTTAGATCCAACCCTCAGCCCAGCCCCTGGCCAGACGATGGCCCTGCTTGTCAGCCCCCTCATCTCCTGCCCAGTCCCCAGAGAGGGCTTTTGAGAAAGAGGTTTTTGTTTCACCAGCTCCTTCTGGTTTCCTCTTAAGGTAGCTTTGCTGCTTCCCCACCCCCCACCGTGCCCCCTTCCCAGATTTCCATTTGTCCCTGTTCCAGGTTTATGGGGCCCTGAAATCTGAAGCTTCTCTATCCACGGAGAACACCAGGGGGTTTTTCATCAAGGAGGCCTGAGTTCAAATCCCTCTTCTCCCGTTAATTCTCTCTGTGGCCTTGGTCGAGTCACTTGTAATACCTTAGTCTCAACTTCCCCATCTAAGAAGTCGGAACCAAAATGGGGCACACCCGACCTCATGGTTCCAGATGCGGGCTCTGGGCCTCACCCCTGCATCAGCTGGTTTGCTGAAGGGGTCTTCAGTGAGTCATTTCGCTTTCTGGGTCTCGGTTTCCACCTGTGTAAGTGGAGGCTGCTATTTCATGGTGATAAGGCACTATGCTGAGCTTTCCACGTACATCTCACTGAATCCTCCTGTTAGACCTGGGAGCAGACACTGTCACTCCTCTTTCCCACATGAGGAAACCAAGCGAAAGAGCGGTGAAGTGACTTGCCTCAGGCCTCAGAATGAGAGAGAGAGAGAGAGAGAGAGAGAGAGGTTGAGCTGGAATTCCTACTAGGTCTGTGTGACTGCAGAGCCTGAACTTCTATCCACTGTCCTGCCTGTCTCCCTAGGCATGCTCGCTCACTGGCCTCCCGTGGTCAACCCCAGGTGCTGGGAAACAGTGGATGTGGAAGCAGGGTGTCAGCCGCTGGGTGACTGATGTCACAGCTGGAGTGACAGTGTCCTGAGGCCCGTGGTGGCCTCCAGAGCTGGGGCAGAGAGCAGGCCGTGGGGCTCGCAGCCTCAGCCCAAGTGACCTTCCTCTTCACCTGATTCTTGTGATCTGTGTGACGTGGAGGTGTCTCGTCTCCCCTGGAGATTTACTGTTCTGAGCCTAGGGGACCTGAGGTTTCTCCCTCCAACACTCCTGCCCCGTTGTGTACGAGGCTGGACCTGCCCCTAAGCCTTAATTTTTCTGTGAGCGAATTAGACCAGAACAGAATGTTAATGCTAAATAGAACGTAGGGACCACTGAGTCCAACTGTACTTATTTTACAGATGGGGAAACCAAGGCAAGGAGAGGCCAGGTTGAGAGAGCAATGGGTATGGTTTTTTTTCGGGTGCTGGAGATCACCAGGACTGACATGGAAGGAGGTGCCTGAGGGGTAGGCGGGCCCCTGCTCTCCCTCCTCCCCCTCCCATCCAGTCCCCCACCAAATCCTTTGGCGACCACCTCTTAAGGATCTCTTGAATCTATCCACTTCTTTCTAGCTCTACTGTGACTACCCCAGTCTGGGCCCTGGGAACCCCTAATACGTACGTGGAGAGCTACTCTTGCCCGTTTCCAGTCTGTTCTCTACCTTGCGAATCAATGATTTCCCGTTGCTCTTAGAATTAAGACTGAACTCTTTACCTTGGCCTCCCAGGCCCTCCCTGGCCCCTGCTGTCCGCTTCAGCTTCAGAAGTGTTACTTTCCCTTTTGCCCTGCTGTGGAGTCGCACAGGCCTTTCTGTTTAACAGGTTCAGCAACTTCCCTAAGGTTTCTCAGAGAGCTAAACGCCAGCCTCTCAGTTTCCAGCTCCTTGCTGGGTCCACGAACTCTGGTTGGTTTCAGAGGAGCTAACGTAACGCTGTTTCCTCCTCGCAGGTGCCTGACCGACGTCCTCTCCCCGGGGGAGCTGGTGTGGACGGAGGAGGGGTGAGTGTTACGCAGGCACAGCCCAAGTCTCCTTCTTCACCTGAAGTGAAACCTCCCTCTTGTGCTCGGGGTGGACAAATAGGTCTTCCAGGCCCTCAAGCTCTCTTTTTGGAGATGTTTTACTGCTGGGAGGCATGAAGGTTTGTCTAGGCCACAGATTTCTGGTGGGTTTAAGAAGCAGGGTGGTGCTGAGGGTCCTCTCTGGTTTTGGCTTATTTTGAAGTAGGGGCTAAAATGCATGTTCATTAAGCACCTCTGCATTGGACTGTGTGCTTTGCCTGCATCGCTTGTCGATGCCACCGTGGCTGGTGATGGATGGCCTCGGACCTGGGAGCTGGATCTGCTGACCCTGCAGCCCTGGTTTTCTTTTGCTTAACTACTCCTAGGTATACCCTAGATTCAGGAAGAGGGTGTTTTCATTCTGGTTCTACCACTGACTCCTAAGTGACCGTGGGTGGCTACGTTTTTTTGTCTTGGCCTCAGGATCCTATATATACTGTCAGGGCAGGGAGTGGAGGAAGGTGGGGTGAGAGTAAGTGAGTTGTTTTCACACTGTCCAGCAGGAAAATCCCCTTTTCAAATGAACCCCAAAGAACCTCAATGTACAAAATAGCCAGAGGGGTTGCAGGGTCGTTGAAATTGGGGTGGGTGTGGGGGACTCTAATTGGCTAATTCCTCAGCCCCCAGCAGCCTCCAGATAATGACAGGGAACACTTCCTTGGCTCTGCACAAGACGATTTGCAAACCACCGGCATGGGGTGTGTCAAAATCCTTTTTCCAGCTCAGAGGGTCTGTGGCTGCGGCAGGGTGAGGGCAGAGAGCGAGCGGAGCCAATGAAGTTACACTGATTGGGAAATTGTGAAGTAATATGCAAATGTTATTGTGGGTTATTAGTAAGGCACAACTCTCAGGGGTCTGTGATGTCGTTCCAGAATCCTCTGGTTTTTGTTTTTGATTAGATCGGAGGCACCTCTGTATCCCTAGGGAACTCTCCGTGTGTGTGTGTGTGTGTGTGTGTGTGTGTGTGTGTGTGTGTGTGTG